AGGTTGAGATCAAGAGGGAAGCTTGGAGTTTGGCTCAGCTTATGAACTAATCTTAACATTACTACTGCCTTGTCATCACCGAAATGCTGGTCCACATTAGTTATTGCTTCTTAACAAACAAGAGGCAAAAAGATCTTTTCTTTGAGATAAGCAAACCAGCTACCAAAAGGCAGCTCTTAAGACTTAATGCTCATCATGCTCCAAGTGAGTACTGCAGCTCTGAGCCTGGTCTAGGGTGAGATTTTTTTTCCTCCTGCTACTAATGTCACATTTCAGAAACTTCTCACATACTAACTTTTTTGATGGGTAAGGTGACTTTCACAATGAAAGAAAAATATAGCATATTATCTTCCACATGTAAAGCTCAATCATGGAATGTGATTGGCAAAACTCACTTTGGAAGAACATACTGTTACAAACTTTTTGTCTATTTAAGGCAACCTACAATCTGTATGAAGATAAGCACAAAGCAGTGTAGGGTAATAAAGGCAGCTTTTGTTTTCCAGGACTCCACTGTGGACTAAGCTGTCCATTAAGGAAGGTGAGAGGGAAGGTTTCATTACAGTGAACTGATTTCGCAGGAAATATATTTTGTCATGTGCAATTTAATATACCTGTGGTTTGCTTCATCGTTTTGTGTTTGGTTTTTTTTTTAACAGAACTGAAATTTTAAATCAGTTAATCAAAAATAGAGCAATAGCAAAAACCTGGTTTATTAATAGAACCTAAGTAAGACTGAGATTTTTCTAGCTGTAATTATCATCATTCTACTCTGTGGCCTGTTGGTTTGCCTATTATTTCTTTTCTCATTTTATTAATAAAGACAAAGTGAAATTTCAGGGCCAGAATTTAGTCCTACAAAATGTCAGTACTTAGACCAGTGTGACATGGGGGGAAAAAAAAAATCACTTTTGCAGGGTAGTAAGCCTTACTGCACTTGGAAAATGTTGCATATCCATTGAATGGATCTTCACTTCAAAGGACTTTGAAACAAACTCCAGAGTACCTGCTATTGGAAGAGATTTTAAGACCTTCATGGCTCAGAACAGGTTTACTTGTTATCTGGGACTCGTGACTTTTATACCATGCAACAGACCCATGATTCTCAGCCCTATAAAACCCTATGACCCATGATCAGCTAGCCCTACCCTAGCTGGTAAAAAGTAGGTGGAAAAGATGCTTTGTCTCCATTAAACACTTTTCTTTTTGATCTACTCAATAAGCTGTTCAGTGTGAGGTGCTTTCTTCTCTTTCTTTTTTATTTTTTTTTTTTCAGTTCCAAAAGGTACGTATGTTCTGTGGTATAATGGAAAACTGCCAGATGCCACCATTAAACTGAAAACCCTCACAAGCTGTGATATTTATGGAGACAAGAACTCTGCCAAGTGTGAGGCCACAGGGGATGCAGTCCGATATTCCCCTGCTGTAAAACACTGCTTTGTTTCCAAAGACCATAGGCCCTTTTAGCTAGACAGGTCCTGTTAAGGTGTCAGGTTGCTGATAGCCTTCACCAGGTAACTATTTTGCCTAATAGTTAGGTTGTTCAATCCACTCTTTCAAAATCCTCGCTTGGAACCTTGCAGGTGATGCCTGTACTGCTGAGCATAGATTGAACACGTGATCTGACTGACAGTCATTTACCTGAAAGCCCAAGCCAAGTATAGGCCAGCATAAGAAAAAAAGAAAGGAAAGAGCAAGTCCTGACCTTGCATCTTAGCACTGACCTACATGTACTTTACAGTGGTTTAGGTGGGCTGTGCAGGGGAGGAGGAAGGAGGGTGGCTGTGTGTCTGTTCACAGGAGTGCATTCACTGATGGCCATACACCTGACCTGGAGGTGACGTGATTACTCAAGAACTCAGTGCCCATATGGTAAGTGGGCACTCTGAATAGGCCTGTATAGTGCCAGGAAGTACCTGGACATACCTGAGCTAGCCGAAATATCAGCTGCTCTGGGAAGGATGAAAGACCACAGAAAAGTCACTGCCTGGGCCAGCATGCATTTCAACACCTTCTGTGTGCCACAGTCTTCTCCTCCCCATGGGCTTGCAAAAGTGTGTTCCCTGGTGAACTAAAAACTGCAACCCTAACCTTTGAAAGTGCAAAGAAGTCGGTATTTTCCTAGGCTTTTCTGACTGCATTCAGAAAGAAGACCATTTCTTCAGGAGCACTGCTAAAGTTATCGACTGTTAGAAGTAGAGGCTTTGCAACAAATGATTGGAAAAGAGAGTGAAGAGTGATGTGGCACGAAATGGCGAGTGTCCCCTGTCCTGTGGGACAGCCGATTTGCTTACAGGCAGCACTGCACAAATGTAAAGTCCCTAAAGAGTAGCTGACTGCACGTTAGTCCTGAATTTAACCCTCAATGTCTTTTATTGGCTGCACTTCTGCTTGATTCTGAGAGTTACTTCTCTCTTCCTCCACTGGTTCATTCCATGCTTTCTATAAATTTCAAAACATGCATTTTCTTACTGTATGCTCTATGTTACAGGGCACACTCCTTTTTTTCCTAGTGCTTTAACTGATTTATTTAACTGTATCATGTTTTAACCGATTTGTATTAATACTGGGACCTTCAGGGCAGGGGCAGGAACTCCGTTCAATTGCCAGGACAAGACAACCATCTAGTTTGGAGGATAACCTTCTCCCAGATTGAAAGGAAGATGTGCTTGTGTGTGAGGAACCAGCCGGCAGTTCAGGGAAGTCAGACAGAATGCCTGATTCTCTAACACTTCCCCCATGTTCTCCTTGACAAATGCAGCAGCTCCTCTTCTTCAAAAGGGCAATGTTATTTATCTGCATCAAAAGGAGGAGAGGAGGGAAGAGGGACTAGGGAAGGAAGCAGAGGAAGCACACTTCTCTAGCAACTGAACAACACTCGGCTCAAGTTCTGAAACAGCCAGATTCCTATCAAAGAGAAAAATGGCTGAGGACTGAGACATTTGATAGAAATAGATAGATGTAGTTGAGAACTGTAAAATCTCTGTTTGGTACAATATATGAGGAGCTGTGCAATTTAACTCCTTTCTCTAAAAGAGGATTTATGAAAGTTTGTGGAGAGACAAAAGGAATTATTTTGGTAACAATGATTTTCCAGTGCTGTAGGATATGTCTGACCTCTGCTGATTTTATGGCAACTGACGTGGGCACTTTGAGTGATTACTTTGCCCCACATGGGCATAACATAATTTACTCTGCCTGAAGTCAGTAATCTGAGGACATGGTGTACAAAGCAAAATAAAAAATTTGTCTGAGAACGTCTTCAAGATGCTGATATGGGTGGGGAACTGCATTAAAGCACTTCTCCATCAGATATTAGAGATCAGCTAAATCCAGGATGACAAACTAAGTAGAGAGAGACAGATAAATGTCACTCTGTGTTAAAAAACAGACATATCTATCAAACGTGGTCTTTCTAAATACTACAGAAAATCAAAGTAATAGCTATTGAAAAAACAAAACAAAACCAAACCACTTTCTTTCATACCACAGCATAGCTTTTTTTTTCTGGAACTGTTGTATTAATGTGTAGCTGTAAGACACTAATAATTGTAATGGTGAATACATACAGATGGCTCTTACTTCCCTCTAAGCTCACACAGAGGGATCACCTAGAAAGGATATCAATACATGTGCCATCAGCAAACTGTAGTTTCACAATAATCGGTGGTATGAATTCTCCCTCTAATCTCTGAAAAAAAAATTTAGGAAAAGCAAATTCTATTAGGTAGTTGTTTTGAGCTTTGCTGTCATGGTTAGGGCTGGGCTGGCCACTAAAACAAATGACTGACACTCTCTTTTACCTCTTTCCTCCTCAGAGACGAGAGCGCATCTGCAGCAACCTCAGTTCAAATCTGAGTCACGGCACCACCCCTTTGATCCCTCAGCTTTTATACTGAGCATGAAGCAGATGGGATGGAATACCCTGTTGGTCAGTTTGGGGTCACCTGTCCTGTCCGCTCCTCCCCGCAGGTGCTACCCATCTATACTTTTCCACCTCTGACCCTCCAACACGGCACTCAAGAAAGTTAGCTGACCTTGGTTGTTATAGCAATAACTATAAGCAGGATCCTCTCTGCATACCGTTCCTTGGTATTCACTACAAACATCAGACTGAAAAATACGCCATTAATTTCAGAGAGTTAGTTAGAAGAGGCTTAGCTGAAAAGTAAAATTACTGAAAAGAAAACTGGTTCTGTTTTACCTCAAACCAGGACAGCTTTCCCCATTCCCAGTTCATTCTGAAGTATACGCAAGGTACAATAAATGTAAACGGCAAATTGTCTCTGATTTCTGTCATACAAACTTGCTGTGAACAAACTGAACAGCAGTTGTGCTATAGCCATTCTGATCTAAGGATGCAAACAAGGCAAACAGGGCATAACCACAAAAGGTAAAAAAATACTGGTTGGAAACACACAACCTATATGTAGTAGTACTGCCCACAAGACACTTCCATTTGATTTGATTTCTTTTGGAGGTAAGATGCCTGGTGGTTTAGGGAAGAAAATCTCTAGAGTTGCCCAACACACAGGCAAATTCTAGTGCCTCCTTCTCAGCATCAAGGAACTTAACTTTTGTGATCACATTTTGAAGGGAGTAGATAAACATCCTTCTCTTGCTGTGTCCTACTTTTTGCTTTGAATATGCTGGGGTTTTGATTGCTCCTCAGAGCGTGAGTTTTTCATATGCATGGATTGGATGACAAAAGAGATAAGTATGTTCCTAACTCTGCCAAAGACCTGCTCAATACTTTAGAGCTAGCCCTTCCATATCTCTATCCAAACTCTGTACAAGCAAAGCAGAGTTTGTCACCCTAAGTTACCACCGTATCTTCCCGTGAGGATTAGCGTTTTTTACATATTGACTTGGAAATAAACTTCAGCCAAAAAACCTTAATCTGCACTTTCCCAGCGATTTGTGCACACTAACCAAAACATAACATGTCTTTTCTGCACCCATAGATGCTTTCCTTCACTTGTGCGGAAAGGAGTACTTACTTCCAATATCTGGCCGTAGCTTTTTGTCATACTCTCTCAACAGCTTGTTTAGTATGAGAGTCACATCTGTGTCTTGTGTTTTTGGAGCTAAAACCCATTTTTGGTTAGTTGTTCCGTCTTCATATTCATCCTCTTCAACCTTTCTAGAACTGCAATAACAAATCAGACAAATAGATGTTATTTTACATAACTAAAAACTGAATTTACATTCCGGGTAAATCTCCACACTCATCTGAAGAAGCTTTAGATATCTCCTTTGGCTCTGCCTGTCTACCCAGCCTTAGGCTGTTTTTTGCAACAGGATGTTCCCATTAACAGTTGTTGAGAATCTGTGGATGGGTCATCATTGAGAATTGTTTAGAAATTGTCTTCTGCCAGCCGCTCCAAAAACTTTACTCTGGGAGTTAATACATCTATCAGAGTAGTATTTTATACCCTGTATTTTAACCAACCTATCCCAACTAGTTAGTTTACAATATACTCTTACCAAGAGTGAACATCTGCAGCATTATTTTATTAATACATCAAGACAACTGATTCATCTCTTCCACAAAGGCTAATAAGAGTATTAAAAATTCAGATCTTCTAATACTTCCTGATCATTTTATCCTATTAATAAATTATTATATTCTCAGTGCCTGAATTTCAGAGTTTAATGTATTACAAGGCTTAGAATTAAGAGCTTGCTCCTTGAATTTAAGATGGATTATCACAAGCGCACAAATACATTGCATAAATTAATCTGAGTTTCCCTGCAGTTTTAATGACATCTTTTAAAAAACAGTACTACACCAAGAGTTATGACTTCCTTCCTTCATAGGTGGACTATTTTTATTGTAAGAGTATGCTAATACAAATGTGGTGGAACTACAGTTTGCCCAGAAATCACAGCTAGAGCTATTTTCACACAAGACTAATTTCATTTGTGCGGCTTTTTGTGCACGAACAGTAAAATGTTGAAGATGTATCTTTTGGTATCTTAGAAACCAAATCTGTTTGATGTCTCTCACTGGAGAAAATCTATGACAGTTAAACTGAGATGAAGTTATCAGGAGAAAAGATAACCTCAGTGGTGGAACCTACAGCAGTAATCATGTGTTGCTTCGACCTGCAATTGCTCCGGTGATACAATATCATTTTGCAACCTTTTAACATAAATGTCAATAATTATGCAAGGTGCAAAGCAATGGACAATCAGAGGCAGCAGCCTTGCTAATTCACGGGATGTGCTACATACGTCAGAGCAACCTCTTTTCTCTCTCTCCTTTTCTTTTCCTCCATAATGAAACTAGTGTCTTAAAATACCTCAGATGTCCAGAAGACTTGATAGACACTCTATAGTAACAGAAAAAATTGAATACAATTATAAAAAAATAATCACAGAGCATCATCAACCCTCAACATTGCTTGTAGACCACCATTCGAGCATTTAATGAAACTTTTAATTGAAACTGCTCTACAGCCAATACGCCCCTAAGGATTAGCCATGAATCACTTAACATGACCTCACGAATCGCGAGTGCTCTACACTTTCTATATAAAAAATAATTTTGAAGCATAACCCCTGAGGACTTTCTACAGAGAAAGCTCACATAACCAAGTTGCAAAAGTAGAGAAAACTTAGGAAAAATTTTGAATTGATGACCACCCCTTCTCTGTTAGTGAGTTATATTTTTTAAAAACTTGATCTTTTTGTGTGTGTGTAATTCACCCAATGAGCATTAAAAAAAACCCAAGAATTGGGGGGGAGAGGGGGAGGTGTCCCTCAGATTCAAGACAAGCCCTATGTTTTAATACTGCAGTTAGAGAACCATTCTCAAAGGAGACACCATCTCCAAATACACATGGCTGATATTTCAGGGCTGAAACCCTGAAGTGGTGCTGAATTGCCAACAGGAAAGGAGCACAAATCGTACATCTTTTTCTGCTGCACCAACAACTTTACTGGAGACATTCCGACTGCACGTGGAAATGAGAACCGAGCTCAGGTAGGATCAAGATTCACATTTCAGGGAGCTGCTCCTTTAAAAGCAGTCACTAGGTAGGACTCCAAGCTCTGACAGACCTTTTAAATCCCCTCACTCTAGCAGCTTGTTTCCTACAAAGTACCTCCAGATGATGTAAATTCCTACCTACCTTCTAGATGAAGATTGGGGCTGTGAGAGGTTTCACAGTGAATCAGACTAATACACTAGATACGTAATTTTCAAGGTGTTTTGTTTTCCTCCTTAAGAGTTTGTATTTCACTTCCCTTGCTTGCCTCTACACAATTAGGCTGCTTGAAGGCATTTGAGGATGCATTTTCACCCATAGCCATACTGGTGACTACTAAATCCGCAGCATATTCCTGCTATCCACAGAAACAAGTTCTGGGATGATGGCAGCCCATTCTCAAATTGGGGAGGAAGAAGGGCTGCACACCTTCCAAACTCCTCAGGGGCCACTAAATCTGATCCCGTGAGGGGACAGAGAGGAGGCAGTGCATGAACTGCAAAGGAGGAAGGCTGGAAAACCCCAAGGTCCTGTTCCATGGCAAGAAGTAATACAATATTCAGCTTATTCAGGCAGACAAAAAAGAGTTAATCACTAACCTAAAAAAATCAGCTGTTGCCTAGGCACCAGCGTCCATGAGCCTTTTACAGTTCACTGGTACAGATGTTGTATTGCACCAGCCAGTGACAAGAAGGAGCCCAAAAGGCAAATGTAATGATGCAGATAAGACGAAACTGCTGATTACCTCTTCTTTCTCTGTACTAGGAATGCCCAAGCAGGATGCATCCCATCTGACCATGTACCTTCAATCAGAAGTTTACCATTTGCCAAATAGAAAGATGTAATTAAGTATCTGCCAAGACAAAACAACAGCTGGGTAACTTGCATGTAAGTGCCTCAGATGAATTAGCTGAGGAGTTCTTTGCACCACTTTTCTAAACGTTTATAAACTCTTTAATAAATGGGACTTGGAGGACAGCCAAGAGGTAAGTGAGACCTATAGATTAGTTCATCTAATGTCCCTCGTAGGGGAAATAATGTGGACTTAGCTGAGGAGACTTTGAGTCTACCATGCATATGTGCTCCTGGAAAAGAGGGAGCTTTTCTCTCTCACAGTTGAGGGCATATCATCCAGGAATGGAAAGACAGAGTAAGACAAGCTCAAGTTTGACATAATTTCCTATTCCCAGCAGGAA